ATTTTTGGCCATATCGCCCTGCTCTAGCTGCATTATTCTCTTGATCATTGCCACTCAGACAAAACCTTGACATCACTGCTGCTATACGTAGAAGAAGTCGAAACCAGGAGCAAAGAAATCACAGTTTCCCCCCCAAAAAAGTCTCGTCTGTTGCAACATCCACCTCTGTATGATCCGTGCTTCTGTTATTAAATATGATTAAAGTCACGGCAAAAAAAACCCACACTTGTAAACATGCCTGTCTTCACCACACGAAGCATGTGTCGAAGGGTACAAAACATAAAAGGTGCACGAGTGGCCAAAATGACACCAAAGTGCGCCTTGTGGCAGTGACAAGGATGAAAAAGGTGAGTATAACAGGCGCCACTGTCATGACCTTAGCTTCATCCCAGGTTACGTTCTGTGAGTTTCTGTTTAAAGACTCCTGGTTTCCACTGACTCGTCTGACAGTATGCTCTAAGTGCAACAGAGAGTTAGGAATACATTTTATACATGAAACCTGTTCAGTTATATTTTATTAATGCCATCAGATGAAGCTGTGCAGCAAAGTTCCAGCTGAAAATGCTTCCCACTGTGTCGGGAATTTGCATGTATGCTGTTGGTGATGAATGAGTCATAAAAATGTTTTCATGTTTAGTCTGTTTCACACTTCTGGAGCTGCAGTTAGTTGATCAGAGATCTATTAGAGAGACATTTATTTCAGTTACACCTCACTGAACTCCTACACTGAAGGTGAGACCTTCTGACCTCCATAGCAGCTCAAAAACAGCTGATGTTGTTAAACTAAAACACGGCCGGCTCTGTTTTTTCCCCCACAGTTGGCCGCCACTGAAGGTGTTTAGGAATAAGAAGAGGAACTACGCTCACTGAATAATAACCTGTTTTTACACTGACATCAGAGAAAGCATTGTTTATCCACTATGTGCAACAACAATGCGCACACACATCCATGACCGCCTGACTCACTGCTGTGTTGTGAAGTTCAGTGTATGTGAATGTGTCATTGTACGCTCTCCACAGCAGCAGCGGTGGTGGCGTGCGCAGCTTGTATGTTCAGGACTTCAGTGATGAGCCAGCAGGAGCCCGATCAGCTGAGGTGGGAGTGACTCACCACTACTGTAAGCGTAAGGGGACTCTGCAGATCCATCCTGCAGGCTGTCCAGGATCTCGCCTTTGCCCACGTCGCTGTCTCCTACCAGGAGGAACTTCAGCAGGTAGTCGTAGCTTTTCACTGGGCTGCCCTGGCTGCCCATCCTGTCTCACATGGAGGTCGAGGGAGTAGTCTCCAAGAAGCTGAAGGGGAAACCAAACAGCACCCTTACGCGTTGCTATTCCCTGATACACAGTCTGTTATGCCATGAATGTCCCGCATGCGGGTCTGGGAGTCTTTGTTTTGCCTGCTAACAGTCTTCAAAACTGTAGGTAGTTTAATTTCAGGCAAAGAAAAAAAATAGGAAAAAGGGGGTCACAGTCTCAGAGGAATGTCCTGTTTGGCTGCCAAAAATGTGGTTGTGGAAAGTAAAACATTGTTTAAAGATAAGAGCAATAATAGTTTTGGGAGGGAAGAAAAACTGGCACTGACAACTTAAAATTATGTTAAAAAAAAGAACAAAAGACTTTTCTTTGCGAGATTAAAGATTAAAGCACATATTTAAAGTGTAACTGGAGCTGTGGAATGATTGTTGTAGTTGCAAGAAAATATGATTACTGTCTGCTCTTACTTTAAACTAAGTCTAGCAGCTGTTGCTTATTTTTAAAGCAGATCTTTTTTGTGACACATCAAACTCTCAAACCTGGAGGGTGTCTTTTTGTTGTCATTTCAGCGCAGCTTTCCGGCTAACAACAGACTAGCCCCAGCCCCGCTAGCTAGCTTAGCTATTATCCCTGCTGCTGCTATCCCAGACTGCTAAAATAGTAATCATATAACGACACCAAAGCGCTAATTTTATCCATGCACAGGTTTAGCTTATTGAATAACTTTCTACAGAATAAAACAACGATGTTGCTTTGTAACAGGCAGCTAACCGCGGCTGGGCTTCAGCTGGAGTCCGAGTGATTTCAGGCCGCCTGGATGGCTTTCTTCAGACCGAGATGACAAAGATTCCAGTAACTTCACTGTAATCCAGAAAATTCCCACATCTGTGGCGGAATCAAAAGGCCGCGGAGCATCTACGTCCAGTCCAAATCTCTGTGAGTGATCTCAGTCCGTGCTGTTTCCATTTTTCTCCATTATCCTCAGTCATAACCACACATAAAGCCCCTCAGTGCTGCTCACGGATACAGCGACGACTGACCGAGTTCAGCGCTGACAGATCCGAGCTCTCTGCTGTCCCCGCCCACCTACAACATCGCCCCGCCCATTGGGTCCGCGCCGACACGAGCCGCGGCTTCCATTGGACAATGGAAATACCCATCAACGCGTGCTGTCAACGCCGCGCAGATGGCGCTGAGAGAATGTGCACAACAAAGATGATTCATTTCTCTGTGAGTGTAAACAGAACAAAGGCAGAAAATTCTCATCACGTGGGATAAACTGGATCAAATCAAAGCTGCGCCCCGTCAGTGAGAAAAACAGAAAATAACCGAGGAAACAAGCAGAAGGACGAGAAATAAATACATGCATAAACGGTATACTTCTGTATTCTTTTCAGTGCGTGCAGACTGCAGTATGAAAAAGAAATCGATAGGAAAATGAATATGGACGAAATTAGGTTAAAGAGTAAAACAATATATAAACAAATATATGAATGCATAAATAACACCGTACCACTTACTTATTTATGTATTAATATTTTCTCTTCATTCCACCACTTATTTCTTTGTTTATTCAGTTCAGCAAAACTATAAAGAGAAGATATATAAGATATTTTTAACAGAAAGTGATTTTTTTTACAAAGTGGAAGGTGGAATATTATATAGATTCAAGATTCTTTATTTCTCACATGCATAGTCATACAAGCACAACACACAGTGAAATGTGTCTGATAAGAACAGACACTACCACTAGATATTTAAAGTATTATATTATTTATTGTGTATTTATTGTGTTTTGTTACTTAGAATAGAAAATCAAATAAATGAATGGGGTCAAATAGAAAAACACCAAAGTAAATAAATAGGAAAATTAATCCAGTAACTTATAGTTAATGTTCATCTTGCTGCATTTAATAACATGTGTTGTAATTCTGCCACCATCATGTGTTGCTGGGTTTATGCACCAAAATTCACATCCTTTTCTGTTTCTTTATTCATTAGGTATTTGATTGGCACTTTAGGGCCTCCGTATGTTTGTGTAAGATCATTTTTATGGGGGGATTTGGGGAAATCCCGTTTGCCTTCTTGCAGTCTGTATGAAAAAAGACAATCGGCTCAGTTTAATCTCTGATTATTTTCGGACAAAACAGGCTAAACTCAGATTAAAAGACATGAAAAACTGCATCAAATCTTTCATGTGACTCATCAGACAAAACTCCCTGAAATGCTGGACTGTTCATAAAACACGCAGTTTTTTACATTTCCTATAAACAAAGAGTATTTAAAACAATAACAACTGAAAGGGAAATGTTTGTGGAGAGTGTCATAATCTGCCCTGTTACTGATCATTTTTCAGTTTTCACTGTCGTAGGGGAGCAAAATACATTTGGACCATTTCCCAGAATATAATTCATGTTGTGTAACCACGGTAGGAATAATATTATGAAATGTGATGTACAGTAGTGGGCTGAGAGTGTGTTTGATTATGTGTGTCAGGCCTGTTTTTATAGCACCATGACTCATCTCTCGCCTCAGCCTCCTGAGGAAGAACACCTACACGCATAATTAATGAAGTGTTCTGGCAGCAACAGCTTGAATGAGGCAATCTAAGATAAAATAGAGATTAAAGTGTATTTACATCTGGGATGGATCATATTTATACTTTTCATGCAGTGGAAATAAACACTGACTGAACAGTCTTCTATGCGTCTTCAACAGCTGTGCTTTTATTCTGAAAAGCTTACGGTCATTTACAGGGTGTTTCCCCCCATAAATGCTACAGGATACCCTGCTTTATCATGCTTGTTTACTCTAATGGGGCCAAAGTTTACAAAATGAACATCATAATGATAATGCATAATACTGGATACGGAGGTCGTACAAACCCAATATTCTACTTTTGAGACATCCCTGTATCTGTGCAACAGCAGAGAGGTTTTTGCCTCTGTGTGTGAACTGAAGCTGTGAAACACGCTGAGTGATGCACCGAAGCAACGTCCCAGAATCACTCTGCTTAAAAAGTGGTTGAAAAATATGATTTTTGTAAAGCACAAGGATGTGTGTATAAGTCTGTATATATCTGTAAATATGTATAACTATCGGCATGTTAGTGGGGTTCTAAAACCAAATGCAAATTGTAAGCTAGTATTTATGATATGATGGGGAATACACAGGAAGAAAAAGTGAAAAGGGACATGATTAATTAAGCTAACGCTTCTTCTTACTTCTTTTTGAATGTTATTATTATTATGCTTATCATCATTAGCATCTTTATTATTATTTAATTGTTTGTTTGTGCTTTTTTTTCCCTCTTTGTGTTGTTATTTTTACATGTTCAAAATACAATAAGAAGAAATTTCGAGGACCTGATAGAAAATAACCAGCATGTGTGTATCCACGTCAAACTTCAGCATAAGTGTCGTAATGGAAATGACATTTAAATAAAACTCTCTCTTTACCTCAGCAGTCTTTTTTTCCCCCACGAGGTATTTAAGCACAAAGACAGCAGCAGTGATGACATCATCAGTACGTGCCACATTAACGATGTCAGCTGAGTTAACATTCATTAGTATAAAGTCTCTCTGCTGTTTGGTTGCCACTCATATACACTGTATGTAATGATATAATAATTTTTCACCTTATTTTTCTAAACTTTCCATTGTTTATTGTTTGAAAACAATAAAAATATGTTGTGATGTTCCAGCTGACTCAGCATGAACACCAGAGGAGGAAGGACGTGCTCAGAATCCTGGATTTTCCCCAACGTTTAATGAAAAGCTGAATTTAGTCAAAAGGTTTGATCAGACATAACAAAACAGGCACATTACATTTAAAATGAACGACAAAAATCAGACTTCACGGCTGTAACAGACGTGCAGAGTCAGTGAGTGGAAGAAGAACATTCATTATTTCATTTAGACTAAATCGCTCTCAGGTTAAAAACAGACACGTAAAAGACATCAAAATAAAAAAAACATTTTTTCTGGTTACAATTATTTAAGGATTAAAGATTCCAGCTATTAACATATTCAGTGCAGTTGGTTAATATAAAGAGTCATTTGATCGAGTTTGTGTGTCTGCACTGAAGGCGAACAGTTTACGGCTCCACAGTTTTACTCACGTTAACACAAAACAACAAGATCAGGTCATTCTTAAAAAGCTCCTTTAAGGTGCTTTACAAATGTACCACTCGCCATAAACACAAGAGAACAATATTTAGATTTTCTCATTAAAAACATGACTTTGATTGAAGCCTTGGTGCATGCTGGTGGATTAACCAGGGCAGCTGGCACACGTCTGTCCAAAAGTCCTCCACAGTGATGTGAGACTGATGAAAGAACACCTTTAATTTAAGTTTCCTCAAGTTTAGTTGCTGCTAAAGTGGTTCTACAGTTTGGAGGGGGAACTTTATTTTAAGTGACTGTACAAAAACCAAACAGAGAATTAGACGTGTGTTTGTTACTTTTTATGGCTGATCACAGCTCGTACAGGAGTTGTTTTGGTCCAGTTTTGTTGTTCTTCCTTAAACATAAAGTCTTTTATAATGACAAATAAAAATGTAAATCTGTAAAGTCAAAGGAACGATCAGGTTAGTTGAATTTTACTCTGAAAGAGTGAAAGAGCTTCCTCGAGTGTTTTTATACCCACAGCTCTTAAACCAACACCAGCAGGACGTGACTATTTGCTGGTTGTCCTGTTTCTGGTATCCGTGTGAGCTCAAATATTCATCATCCACCTTCAGGCTGAGCAGAAAGCTGTAGACGCGATGAGTCGGCAGCTTCAGGCGATGTTCTCTGTGACGCTCTTCCCATCAAATATAAAAGCATCTCCCGAAGGTCGTCTGTCTTTTTCCTGTCCGTTTCCATCTCTTTATTTATTCAGTCTCTTCCCTTTCCCCCGCTCCCTCGTCTCTCCTCTTCCTCCATCGCATTTCTGGCTCTCTCTCAGTCAACCTTGGTGCTTTTGTGTCTCCAGGGATAAATCAGCTCCCCGACAAACAGCTTCTTGACCAGAGCGGCCCATGAGTCTCTGGGGTAGCAGCTGTATGTCAGGGTGCGGTACAGCTGCACCACAGTGCTGCACTTCAGAGGGTTTATCTGAGGAAGAAAGCATCAAAATAATGGCTTGCTGTCAGGAGGAGCACACACTGATGACACATTATTAGCACGCTGAGGTAGGAAGTAAGGTACAAACAAAACAAATGCACCTGCAGTTCTTATAAAGTCCACTAGAGGCGCCAGCAGTGAGTCGGTCCCCGTGGGCTCCCACGTTAAACTTTACAGCAGATATAAACACGTTAACCGTCTCATTAAGTGTCAGTTTTATTTACTTAAGTGTTGTAGTCTGTAAGTTTTTGGTTCTTTTGTTTTTTATTGAGCTTCATCTGATATTTCCCCTCCTGAGTTCCTGGATCACAGCGGCGTGCCAAGTCTGAGTTTTCCTGTTCCTCAACCACCAGATGTGACCTCAGCATCTGTTCCTGCACCAAACCTGTCAGACGTCTCCTCAGGACCAGCCGTCAGGCTCTGCTGCTGCTCGCCCTCCAGCGAGGTCCGGCCTCCACCCTTTTCTGTTTCTCTCTGCAGCTCCATCATGTTAGTTTTCTCCAGCGTTGGCTGGCTTATGTTTATTTCCTGTTTTCCATTTTTCTTTCAGTGTCTTGTGTTAATTTTACTTCCTTTTTTTTTTTTTTTGATCGTCCGCCTCGCCCAGATTGTTCTCACCTGTCATGTGTGTTTATAGCCCCGTCTTCCTCTTCCTGTTTTTAGAGGAAGTCAGTAGTTTACCTGAAGTTGTACTAGATTGTGTCCTGCTGGAGCCTTTGGGTGAATTTTTAATGTGACCAATAATAAAGTTGCTGTGCAGTCAAGAAAAATAATTTGGCCTCAAATGTAACAAACTAAGTATTTAGCATTTAAAACAAGCAAACAGCTGGATGATCATGGAAATTTCATCCAGCTGTGATGATTTGAACACAAAGAGGCTTCCTTGTAGCAGCCAATGAGGTGCCTCCATGTTTAAATCTGCGTGGTAAGACAACGAAGACCTGTGTGACCTCTTACCTCCATCAGCAGGTGAAGGGCGGTGCCCGGCTCCTCACACAGCACCTGGAACTTTACACCTTCTGAAAACGTGCACAAAGCCTCACGATGAAAACCTGCACACCTCCCCCACGCAGTTATTTAAAGGCTTTATAAAGACGGTTCAGTAAAGCGTACCTGCCAGTCTGTAGGGTCTGAAGAGGCGGAGGCCCATGGCAAACAGCGGGAAGGAGTTGATGAAGTCCACGCTGAGGTGGAGGACGCCCTGGAACAGCACCACCACGAGCCGGAGCTGCACGACACAACGAGACCCGGGAGTCAAAAAGAAACAAACAAAATAATGGAGTGGATTTATATAGCGCTTTTCGAGACACCCAAAGCGCTTTACAATACCACTATTCATTCACTCTCACATTCACACACTGGTGGAGGCAGCTACGGTTGTAGCCACAGCTGCCCTGTGGCAGACTGACAGAGGCGAGGCTGCCATATCGCGCCATCGGCCCCTCTGACCATCACCAGTAGGCGGCAGGTGAAGTGAAGGCGTACCAGAGTGAAGACCAGGTAGTAGAGGGCGGTGGTGGGCAGCAGGAACAGCAGGATGGTGAAGAGCAGCATCCCGATGAAGAGCTGGAAGAAGCACAAACACAACAACACTCAGAGAAAATTCTCTGCATCTCTAAGAACTGATGAAGATTATGTTGAGTCTGAGGCTCTCGATGCCTCCTCTTCCTCATGATAATTCATTTTTTAAATAAATGTAAAAATCTTGGTATTAAAGCTCTTGAGTTAGTTTGGGTTTGAAGCTCCTGTGATGAGGTTTCAGATCAGTCTCAGCATCCAATCGCTGACAAACGTCCCTCTAAGAGGGGGCGTGTCTCCTCTTCACAGTAGGAAATTAATGCGCAACCAAATAAATCAAATTACGTTTGTTTATTCAGAACATTTTACACCAGAGTCGAGCACAGAACAAGCAAAATCAGGAATAAGTGCAAGAAACCCAGATGTGATGCTCCCATTTAAAGACTGCTCAGTAGAAATCTATGAATGCCTTTAAAGAGCCAATCAGCAGCTGAGCCTGGAACCATGAGCCAATCATGCTGCAGAGCTCATTCACAGCTCCTAAAGCTGAGTGGAGGACGATGCATTCACCGTTCTCGACGCGGTAACAAACATCTTTCTTTGATTTCTTTGCCTCCCTGATCCTGGTTCTGCTGGAGGTTCTTCCTGTTAAAAGGGAGTTTTTCCTCCCCACCCTCGCCAAGAGCCTCTCACAGGGGATCGTCTGATTGACGGCGTCTTCTCACCAATATTTAAGGTTCTTTATCTTATAAAGTGTTGTTGTGAAATGGAGCTGTATGAATCAAACTGACATCAGTGGTGCTCAGATATACATATAGTGAGGAAAACAGCTTCCGAATCCTCATTTTGGGATAAATGTACCATTTTTTTTAGCAGTTTTTAAATAAGATTTGACTCTCATCTACATTTGTAGAGACTCTTTGTCTCTACAAATGTAGATGTTGAATTCATGGATCTCTACCTGTTTATTCTCACAGGTGTTTGTGGGTTACCTGGTCCACGTCATAGGAGCAGGAGTCCACTCTCTGCCGCAGGACGTTCCACTTCTTCCCTCTGAAGAGCCTCCAGAGCGACGAGAGCCCATAGATCTTCAGACAGTACAGCCTGACAGAGACACAAACAGGTGATGAGTGACTGCTTAAAAGGAACAGGTAGATATCTGACACAAAGACAGGTTTCATAGAAGAGCTCTGCAGAGGCCTGTTCAGCTGGTAAACCACCAGCTTTATGCGCAGCAGCACTGACAAATCATTTCAAGTGTAGTCACAGAAAAAGCACCACGGCTGTAATAGGAGCAGTCATTAATGACACACTCAGTCTGTTTGACAAAGACTAAGAGAGACAGAGAAGCTTTCCGTTTGAAGCACAGCGAAGCTTCTTCGACTTTCATCCTCTGCAGAGCCGAGCTGTGTTCACGGCAGGAGATATTTTTAGACCCGGGCGCGCAGATTTAATAATAATAAAAAAAACTCAGGCAAAAAGCTCTCAAAGCGAAGAGCCGGCGGAGCATAAATATGTGAGGAGGAAAATGGGTAATATTTCACTGTGCACCACGGGGCGAGGCACTGCTATCTTTAGAGCAAATACATAATTTAGTCAATCCTTCACGACAGCACTCAGACTCCCGTCACACCACACGGCAGACTAACAGACCTCATTTCTCCTGTTAAAGCCAAAGCAGGTGAGTGTACCTGAGAGCTGACAGAACAGAACCAAGATTTAAGAAAATGAAGATTTAAATGTCATCGAGCTCATCTTTTAATCCTCAAACGGGATTCAGCAGCGATGACGTGCTGTTTCTGCAGCTGAACACGTCTTCAGGTTAAAGATTAAGAAGAAATACTCATTAGTCCTGTGATGCTCTGCAGTTACTGGCTGACCTACTGAAGGCAGCAACATTTCCTGCTGCAGAAGTTTCAGTTTCACACGCTTGTGCACAAAATATTGTAAAGAGTGTCATCTCCAAACCAGATGTTTGCTTAGTTTGAGTTTGACAGCAGCAGCCTGAGAGGACGTATGACAGAGTCATCGGTTCATCTGCAGTGTGGTGTTACAGGGATGCAAGCATGCTGTCACTTTTAAATGGTAAGAAGCGCTAAATAAAGGCTGCCAGGGTGGTACCAGAATTTAACTTGACCCTAAAATCTTCCAGAACCAAAAAACTCATCATGAAAGTAAGAATGCCCCAAATCTGATCCATGCATGATGCTGCATGGAAGGGGCCCTCAGCACCCAGACATGAAGAAGGCCCAGCAGAGGCTCGACTTCTTCAGGGTTCTCAAACAAAAACAGCCCGTCCTCCCACTGCTGCGCCATCAGCACCACCGAAACCATCACCAGGTTCCCACCACCCTTCCTGGAGGACATTTGGAGCCACCACTGCCTGATAAGAAGCACCAACAGAACCACGAACTCGCCCCTGATAATACTAATACTAATATATTTATATATTCATGTGCTTGTATATTTTCTGAGGATATTTTAATACATTTGTATTCCTTATTCTCGCTTCCTTTCATTGTACTTTGTTCAAAGACAATAAATTCATCTGAAAACCAATTAATTGATTATATTAGAATATTTTGCAACAAAGTGTTGTGCAAAAATCTTAAGGCACCCTCATTTCTTTATATTTGTTAGTGAAATGTGGAACAGTTGCAGGGATTAACTGAAACGTGTGCAAACACAAAGAAATACATTAGAAAATTAAACAGAATAAGTTAATATTTATTATTATGACCACCTTTAATCTTCATCACAGCCTGAGGAAACTCTCTGTCATTAGTTTAAGTATCCTCAGTTCTCCAGCCTTCGTGGAGGACGTTCAAAGCTCTTTGGATGTTTCTGCCTCTTGTTCTGTTCTCTGTCAGGACGATCTCACGCTGCTTCAGTAAGTCTGAGGTCCGGCTCTGAGGAGGCTGATCCACGACTGGTGGTGTCCCACAGGTGTGTTGGCATCACTGTCAGTTCATAATCGTCAACACCGCTGGTTAAACTGCAGCCCACATGTCCATCACTGATGCCCCGTCACAGGTTTTCAGTCCAGTTCTTGTGTAATTTCCATACCTCAGCCTTTCCTCACAGTTTTCCTTGGCAATGGCTTCTTGACGGCCGCCCTTCCACTGAGACCATTACTGATGGCACGTTCATACTGAAGGGTCACGTTTCACCTTCATCTCTCTCTCATGGTTTGGACCCTCCTCTGAATCTTCACCATCTTCTCACAGTCAACAATGACTCTGTTCAGCAGCACAGTGCGAGTGTGAACATCTAAAGCAAACAGGCCTGCAGAGCAGAGCGTGCACCAGCTTAGGCGAGGCTCTTCCAAATGTCCAACCCTGTTATGTAACCGTGACGTCAAACAAAACATCCTGCAAGTCAGATTTGGTTCTTTTGTGAGCGGCTGCAGAAATGAATTATGATGCTCTCATCTTCATCTTTCAGTTTTCACTATTGTCCAAAAGGTATTTTATAGTAAATTTACCGGCTGTGTAAAAGTTTTTATGTGTAAGATTTTAAATAGTTTCTTTTTGAATGAACTGCTTTTAGCAAACGTCCCAAATATGATCTTCAAACCCACCAATTTGGCCTCCATCACCTCAGTCCGGTCGATTATTTCATTATTAATAAATTCTCATTTCTAGACCATTCTCGGGCCATTTTCTACCAAGAAGTTTTTTCTAGATGCACAGAGGAAGGAAAAGATTTGAAAGCACTGCCCCCTGCAGGTTATCAGAAGTACCTCCTCTCACAAAGCTTTACCGCGTGCTTATTCAATAAGGTGGTGAGATGAAAACTAAAAGAAGTCCTAAACAGTCCACTCATCCAGGTCCAGAGGCAGACTCGTCCTCAAACCCAGCAGAGAAGACTAATCTCTGCGGAGAGTCCTGGGTCTGTCCCAGGGCTTCCTCCCATTAACACCTCAAATGGCTCCTGTTGAGGTGGAGGAGCATCAGTTTCACTTCCTCACCATCCTCGCTCTCTAACCCTGACACCCACAATCTCATTCTCTCCTCACAGCTTGAAGAAATCAGCAGCTTCACCTTCACACAGACACTGTGCACATCTGTCGGCCTCATGCTCCAGGCCTTGTTGCCTTCACCGATCAGAATGAGCTTTGCTTCATAGCGGAGTAAAAGCTGGCCGTTTCTAAGACATACCTGGCTCCGTAGACGTAGAAGCAGTAGATGTGGAAGGTGAGCAGGGCCACCATGTCTGACAGCAGCGAGAGGGCAAAGGTCAGGCCAAGGCAGGCCGACAGACCTCCGTACCACAGGATCCCCTCGATGAATGGAGACATCAGGTGGATGTAGCCTGGATGGAGAGACCAAGCAGCACAGTGAGAGTCAGCACAAGCTTCTGTGTCACTTTAGCGTGAAAAAGATTTAAACAAATTAAAGGAAATCTCAACACTGCAGAAAACCTCCTGATACTCACTGATCCAGAGGTGTATGTGGTACAGGAAGAAGCGGCCCAGAACCTGGTCCAGGGCCCGGTTCATCTTCAGCCCGGCTGGAGCTCCCATCAGCCACTGCAGCAGCTCCTCCAGCTCTTTAGCCACATGCTGAGGAGGAAGCGCAGGAGTTTAATGACAGAAGAACAGGAGCTGAAATTACACCAAATCCAGCCGGTTATTAGCGACTTAATGAGGCCTGTCGGCGCTGCGCAGGGCGCTGAAGTCTCTACATTTATAACATGAAGAGTTTTTGTGCCTTCAGGCTGTTTCCACAACATGATCCAAACACATGTCTGAGCATCATTAGTTCACTTATCAAGAGACTGTTTTTGTTTTCAAACCTGGAGTTTCTATAAAGCAACAAGCTGAAATTATTAAAGCTAAACTTTTTCACGTTTTTCCGATCCGGCGCGCAGCATCCTCTAAACTGCTTTTTGTCTCCTGGATGAAGCAGCAGTAATGTCTGATTATGCTCCTTCGATCCGTCTCTTGCTGGCAAAAGATGCTCATGAAGTGCAGGCAGCACAGGTCATTGGGCTGTGCCCCTCAGCAGGCTTCTGGAAGTTGGCCAATCAAAATAAAGTTGGTGTTTTAAAGAGACACGAACTAAAACAGCTTGTGTGAGACAGGAGGGCTGCATGAAGGCCAGCATGAGGTACACATGGATCCTTTTTTTAAACAATGAATCATGCAGAGCTGCTTTTTCCAACAGTGAACTGCAAAAACAAAACCAAGCTCATATGTCATGATGGCAATTCTACATCAAAGACACGACCATGAACCTGTAAAACAAAGACCAGTCTGCGAATCGAGGACATTCATTCAGCTCCAGCATTACTCAGCTGGTCCCTCACACTTGCACACAGCAAAAATCTCCACAGAGCAATAACTTACATCAGCTGCAGGCATCAGCATGTTAGCCAGCGTGGCGATGTGGTCGTCTCTGTAGAGCCACGACATGAGCAGGACGCCGAGCCCCACGTCCACCAGGAACGACACCAGGATGTTGCCTTTCCTGCCGACAGACATCAAAGCGGAGACGCGGCGTTACAGTCGGCTCGGTTTCAGCAACAGTTTCAGTACAAACCAGGTGAAGCTCCATTTCTTCACCAGACGCCCACCTCATGAACTGCTTATGCTCGATGGCTGGTTTGGGCGAGCTCAGCGTCCTCATGTGTTCGGTCCTGTAGCTGATCTGGACACATGTGGACAGTTTACTGGACAGGAAGCGCAGCGGGTAAAGACTGAAGATCCTGCATGAAACAGAAGAGGCAGCTTAGAGCTTTACAGCCGCGGTCGGGACTTTCTTACAATAAATGCTGGACTAATAAATAAGAGCAAAACAAAGAAGGAAGCAGGAAAAGTACGTCGCTTCTTCAATTCAAAAAATAGTTTTTATCCAGCTTTGCATTACTCCAAGTCTGTGGAGGTGAACAGAGAGCCGAGTTTGAAAGCAGAGCTGTCGATTCACCGGCTGAGCTACGTTCTGACCATGAGACCAACAGAGTGAGTCTGAGGATACAAGCAGCAGAAATGAGCGTAATGATGCTGCACCTCCACATTAAAAGGAGCCAGCTGGGGTTGTGCAGCATCTGACTCGATGCCTCCTGGCTGCCTCAAAGCTGAGGCATTTCGGGCATATCAGAGTGGGTGAGGTCCTGCAGCAGAGCCAGAAGCTGCTCGATAGCTGCTCCTTCTCTGCTAGCTTGGAAGGATCTTAAAGCTCCTCACAGAAGTGTTGGAGGAGGTGGAGAGGGAGGCCTGTGCATCGATCTACTATACAGCTTTTCTATCAGTCTTTATTAACAGATTAAACACACCCAAACGCTGAGATGTAATAAAGTGTAACTACCTCGAACTTAATCCGTGCTTTGATTTTTTTAGAGGATTTTAGTCTTTTGCACAAACAGGACTTGAGCAGATTGCTTGAAATGAGTGTTTTTTATTTCATTTTTTAAAATGAATAAACTCACTGAAATTAAAACACGCAAAGTGAAAAACACTGAACAAGAATCTTCTCGTGCAGAAACTGAAACGGTGAAAGAAGGCACGGCAGGATTATAGTTTGTGGTTTATTCATCATGAATTAACAGGATGTTTTGTGCAGTTTCCAGCCAGGGGAGGACAACCAGCGATAAAACAATCAGCACATTGATCAGTATATAAAATTATCTCTCAGCTGTAGCTCTCTTCCTCTTACCGGATGCTGCAGAGCCACGTCCACAAGGCGAGCAGCCAGCTGATGAGCACACACAGCGGCACTGAGGCCTGTTTAAGCAGCTCCACGATGATGCTGGCCTCCCGGCCTTCAGACTGCCAGTGCGTCGACTTCAGCGGCCCGTCATCGTAGCGATCCAGGAAGAACAGAGGCTGGCTGCGCGCTACCGTCTGGAACACCTGCAACAGGAAGAGGAGGAGCATGTGAGAGATCACCAGCTGCCCACATCAGGGATTGGACGCATGTTGGTGGAGGAGCTGATTTGAGAGCTTTGCACCAGCACGGAGACATCACAGTTTTTTTCTCCTCTCTACCTGTTTCAGCTCAGACGGCGGCTCGGTGTTGAGGTCAGGATCTCCACTCTCAGTGGGGTGGAGCTGCGACAGCATCACCTTCCTCTGCTCATAGTGGACAAAGATCACCTTCTCCTCCTCCTCATCATTTTGCTTTTTTGCTTCCTGCTGAGTTTCTTGCCCATCTGAAAGTTATTCAAATCAGAGCACAGAAACTTTCAAATTAAATGAAGGACATTTTATTGGACATTTAAAAACAGAAAAGAAAAATAATCTTAAAAACAGAAACAAACTGTCAGATAAAAAAATGAAAGACAGCTGTGAAAAAGGAGAACTATCATTCCAGGGTCAGCAGGCTTAAAAGAGTGGGAGGAGCTAAAGCAGCTTAGTTCAGACAGGATGAACTGCTAGGCTGCGCCAATGCCTGCACCTGTTTAAGATAAATAAGGATTATTTTGAGCTGAGAATCATGCAAAGCTACTCTAGCACAGTCCAGAATAAAAAAAAAAAGTATGGAAAAGAAAAGCCAAGGAGGAAGCAGATTCCAGTCTGAGGATCTTACTTTGGTTCCGGTTGACGACCTCACAGATGAAGCCCATCTTTCCCATTTGGCGACTGACCTGGAGCCAGCGCTGCTGGGGGAAAATGGTGCTGAGGTCCCTGAGGAAGCTCTCCATGCTCTCCTGACCCTCTTTAGGCAAACTCCAGGAGCCGAGTACCGTCAGCTCCACCCCGCTCTGGGCCTGCATCTTAGAGACGAACACAGAGGACGGCTGAGGGACTGACGTCTGGCTCACGTTGCTGAATGGATTCATCTGATCATCTGCAACCTGACTAAAAGTTTTCCTCTGCATTGTGTTTAATTCAAAAGTCAAAGGTGACACCTATTGGACAACTTGTGCCCTACAAAGACTCAGCTCCCTCTTTATAATCACCAACCTGCTGGATGTACTGTTTGACCTGCCCGGGGATGAAGGGGTAGTGAATGACCGCCAGCACCACGGCTGAGTCATGACCAGAGATCCAGCGGCCCACCAGCAGCCCGCTCTCCGCCCGGTTACAGCACTGTGGGAAGAAAATCTTCAGCACCATGACTGCACTGTGGCTCAGAGTCCAGCAGCTCTGATGATCTGAGAGAAATCAAACAAGCAGAGGTAAACTTTAACTTCAGTTACCGCCCTGACGGAGAAATCCTTCATCACAGATACGCGTGCTGATTAGCGCGTGCAGGTCCCTCATTGGTGTCCACACCTTGGTTGGAGACACTCCTCTAACCCTGGAAAACTCACTGCCAGCAGCAGATATTACAAAAGTCCAACTTGGAAATCAAAGAATTCTGAAATAAAATTTATGTGAACATTTTACAACAGCAAAGATGGCGGTAAAAGTAAAGCGTTGAGGAAAAGCCTTTAAAAAAGTTTCAGCCAGTGTCTTAAAAAGGTTTTAAAGCCTCTTCTCTCTAACCTCTATTCTACTGGTGCTTTCCTGACATGAAGCCCAGCATGGCATCAAGGCTCAGTTTCCCAGACATGGAATAAGCCTGGACCTGTTTTCAGTGGGACACATTCACGGAATACTTCTCCTCATTTAGGAACAGGTCTAATCTATGTGTACAACACACTGTATGTGTGTATATATACACAAGAGTAACAGTAACCAAGTACGAACTACCCGCCGAGGGGACAAAGAAGTCCTTATTAATGAAAAATATCCCCGCGTTTCCATTTAAGTGCTACGACAGGAAAACCACTCAATCTTCCATTTTTTGAATGGAGTTCGGCAACAGAATGGAACAGGGTTAGAGACGGCTGTCCTCATTTTTTGCCCTTCAATCAGAAACCCGATTGGAGCACAACAGGAAGCCTGGGGCAGGGATGACATTGATTTCCGAGACCACGAAGCCGGTCAGCTGCAGTTTTATCTGCAGTGTTATTACAGAGTAACCGCGGGAACGTAAAGAAATTACCCATCACGTCAAAGAGAAGAGTGACACCCCAACCTGCTGGTTTATCATGTCCCCCACCTGACAACCACCTCAAAGTTCTTCGCATTTTTCATTATTTTTCGTTAAAAGCGTTTTAAAATCAATGAACTGAAGCTCGAACAAACAACGGAAAGATCAAAGTGTCTAAAATCACTGCGGAGACGAGACACGAGTGTTAAAAATGCAACTTTTACCTTGTTTAACACGACAACAAGAGTTCACCTTCCCTCTGCAGCTACGTGCAAACCGTCGGCGCCATCTTCGTTGTTGATAGTCCGTGCGATAAAACGCTCCGGAGAGAAACACGCGTTAATGACTGTGCTGCGTTCCTCTTACTGCGATTAGATTTCAGTTTTTGAAAGAATTAAAAGTCTCACATATTTTTTTTTACCAAAGTTTTTTTTTATTTGAAAGGGAACTCTTTCAATAGAGAATATTAATAATGTTATTTTGAAATGTGACTATATTAGTTTACATTCCTTGTTGTTTTATGCTAATAGTTTGATCAGGATTTTCTGAATTGTAATGTCTGAATGAAGGTATTGATCCTTAAGGGGAAACGTTTCAACCCAAAACATCCCAGAACAATAAAATAAGCATTTAAAGTCAACATGTAGTTCTCCTTACTCATAATTCCAGTTTACACTGAATTTATTACGTTTGCTTCAAAATTGAATTTTACCACGTTCACAGGCTTCAGCATTGGCCACAAGACGCTCCTCTGATTTTGAAAACAGTAATTCGTGTCGGCGTTATAAAGGACTGTGTTTCTGCTAATCCTTTTTAATTAATTTATACGGTTATTTCCTCTATGAAAAACTTTCTATATTCACTGTCTTCATGCGGTCCTTTTAAAATAATAATAAGATATTATAATACTATAACAACATTTATAATTTACCTGGACCGAAAACTTTAAAACTTTATTATCCACAAATAATCAAAATCGTTAGTTTCTCTTAGGTTCTTCTTTTCTGTTAAGAAAACCAAGTGAAATGATCAAACTGATGTTTTAAAATAATCAGCTCATACTCACCAGTAAATGCTCAGTGTGCTGGAGCTGCTGCTGTGAATGCACAGTTGGTCCAACTGAAGAGATTTTATCTCCGGCTGCAGTGACACAGCAAGAAAAGAGCGCGAGGAGAAAGAAATATCAGAAACCTTCTGGACGAAGCGACGTTTGTGAGCGGGCAGAATTCAAGGCCACAGCAGCAGATCTGACTGAAGCTTCACAGATATCAGCAGATATCACAGGTTCCAAAATGAACATGAGTGTGGCTCAGCCCTTTGATTTATACCACAGTAACCTTTTATTCATGTCACCGAGCTGCTGAAGCTGGCATAAAGGGGAGGTTTCAACACGCTGCTGGATTCAGGTATAAAATTCAATAAGAACTGCAGCTGGACTTGAACCTTGAGCCTCAGTGTTTAAATCCACTGACAGACAGAACCAGCCGAGCTCTCCAGCAGCTCTGATGGATCAGAAATTTACTCTGAGGTTACAAAACATGCACACGAACGAAACGGACAAAACCTCCTTAAGACAAAAGTATACACGATTTTAATTCAGAAAACTTACACAGAAGATCTTTAAAGCATAAGACTACCTGCTGGAGAAGTGGGTCATCTGGAGGTTTGATCTCATGATGCAGAGGAGAGCCACAGGAGTGGCAACTTTTAATTTTGACCTTAAAAGTAGAAAAAGATATTTGCTGGACTTGAATCCTGAACCTTTTAGATAAAATATGATGAGACCATAATCAGAGCTCTCCAGCAGCTGATGTCTGAAGACCCTCCAAACTAAAAGGAAAAGAAAAACACACAGAGAGCAACAGAAACTGTATAAAGAGGTTAAGGAAAGCCCCAGAACACACTCTGGTTCAAAATGAAGTTAAGTTCTAATTAATACAAAACCTTACATTTAAATAATAAATGTCCACTAATAAAATATATAACAATAAAAAGAAGACTGTATGTATGTATGTATGTATTAAACACATGCACTAGCTCTCTGTAGCTTTAAAAAAGGCAGCCGATGCTCAAACCTACAGATAAACTTCACTACCCAGAGGCTCTGGCGAGAGAGGGTCGCGCAGGATTATGGGTAAATAGGAAGTAAACAAATACACGTGTAAGATGGCGCTTTCAGAGCGGTCCTCGGTTCAGGGGTCAGTTAAAGAGGTTTTAAGGGAGTTCCAGGTGTCGTTTTTCGCTCTGACTCGGCTCCCTTCGTTTCCCTGGACTGTGAGTACGAGTCTGGCCGAACTTCATTCAGAAATCTCCGCATTTTAGCACCAAAGCAGCCTCTGCCTGTGAAACATGAGTAAAGCAATGCTTGTAATCAGTCAAGGGACCTCCCTGAATAATTTTGGTCTCAGTTCATAAAGATAATCTTTATTCTTTCTTTTAATTTGTTTTTATGTTTTCAAATTGGCCACGGGCTCTCTGAGCCTGCTTCTGCCGGAGATTTCTTCCTCTTAAAGGACATGTTTTCCTTTCCACTGTCGCCCAGTGCTTGCTCGTAGGGGTCGTCTGATTGTTGGGGTTATGGTGGGTCTACCTTACAATATAAGCGCCTTGAGGCGAGTGTTGTGATTTGGCGCAATGTGATTGACTTTAGCCTTCAGCCTCCCTGGGAAAGTCTATGCCAGGGTGCTGGAAAGGAGAGTTCGTCCGTTAGTCGAACCTCGGATACAGGAGGAACAATGCGGTTTCCGTCCTGGTCGCGGAACACTGGACCAGCTCTTTATCCTCTCCAGGATACTTGAGGGTGCATGGGAGTTTGCCCAACCAGTCTACATGTGTTTTGTGGACTTGGAGAAGGCATTCGACCGTGTCCCTCGGGGTGTCCTGTGGGAGGTGTTGCGGGAGTATGGGGTGTCTGGCCCATTGCTACGGGCCATTCGATCCCTATACAACCGTTGCAAGAGCTTGGTTCGCATTGCCGGCAATAAGTCGGACTCGTTCCCGGTGGGTGATGGGCTCCGCCAGGGCTGCCCTTTGTCACCGGTTCTGTTCATAATTTTTATGGACAGGATTTCTAGGCGCAGCCAAGTGGCGGAGGGCTTTCGCTTTGGTGGCCTCAGAATCTCATCTCTGATTTTTGCAGATGATGTGGTTCTGTTGGCTTCATCGGGTGAGGGCCTCCAGCTCGCACTGGAACGGTTCGCAGCCGAGTGTGAAGCAGCGGGAATGAGGATCAGCACCTCCAAATCTGAGGCCATGGTTCTCAGCCGGAAAAGGGTGGAGTGCCCACTCCGGGTCGGGGATGAGTTCCTGCCCCAAGTGGAGGAGTTCAAGTATCTCGGGGTCTTGTTCGCGAGTGATGGGAGAAGGGAGCCGGAGATCGACAGACGGATTGGGGCTGCAGCTGCAGTAATGCGGACGCTGCACCGGTCCGTCGTGGTGAAGAGGGAGCTGAGTGTAAAAGCGAAGCTCTCAATTTACCGGTCGATCTACGTCCCTACCCTCACCTATGGCCACGAGCTGTGGGTAGTGACCGAAAGAACGAGATCGCGGATACAAGCGGCAGAAATTAGCTTCCTCGAAAGGGTGGCTGGCCTCTCCCTTAGAGATAGGGTGAGAAGTTCGGCCATCCGGGAGGGGCTCAGAGTAGAGCAGCTGCTGCTCCACATCGAAAGGAGCCAGCTGAGGTGGTTCGGGCATCTGACAAGGATGCCCCCTGGGCGCCTCCTGGGTGAGGTGTTCCAGGCATGTCCCACCGGGAGGAGGCCCCGGGGCAGACCCAGGACACGCTGGAGAGATTATATCTCTCGGCTGGCCTGGGAACGCCTTGGTATTCCCCCGGATAAGCTGGAGGAGGTGGCTGGGGAGAGGGAGGTCTGGGCCTCTTTGCTTAGGCTGCTGCCCCCGCGACCCGGCCCCGGACAAAGCGGATGAAGATGGATGGATGAATGAATGACTTGAATTGAACTTAAAACGTGACTTACACAGAGGTTGAACTTTTTATCTGCTTACAGTTTGTAGAAAAAGACCTTCAGAGCAGCGGGTCATCAGAGCTCATTTCTCAGGTGCTGAAACAGGTGAGTGTTCCTCCATCGTGCTGCAATCATAAAACAGCTTCGTCAGTGTAATGAACAGTCACATGTTTTTACAGACGTGCCTTCATCCCCTGTGCCGGAAGTTTCCACCTTCAGTCAGATACAGGAGGCTGTTTCTCTCCCAGCTCATCAGACGGGTAAGGAGAGGTTACCTCTCAGATTATTAGTTGAGCTTTTTTTTTCTCTGGGCAGAAAGATGTTGAAATACTCGATCACAGAGTCAAACCCGGCTGTGTGCTTCCTGGTTTCTTCCTCCACAGCTGGAAGCTTCAGGCTGTGAACCCCTGGATGAGCTGTACGATGCTCTGGCTGAGGTGGTGGGCGCTGAGGAGACCATGGAGTGCTACAAGAGCTACCTGCTGGTACCGCACACAGAAAACCCCCAGTGTCACTGTTACCTTTATATCAAATTATTTGTTTTGTGCCATAAAAATATCACGATCTGATTTTCGGTCTGAATCGCCCGGCCCTACTTTTGCCAGCTGTTGCTTGCAGGAGTCTTAATTTGAAGTGCAGCGATGTTTGTGTCCTGCAGCCTGCTGGTGGCGCCGTGAGCTTGATGGAGAACATTGCTCTGATCTCAGAGGGGACCACCGGGCTGGTGACGTGGGAGGCGGCTCTTTACCTGGCAGAGTGGGCTCTGGAGAATCAGCAGGTCTTTACAGGCAGGTAAGCGGAAAGATCTGCAGGTCGTCGCCCTCCAGGTGGAGCTTCTGCAGCTTTTAGATTTGCTCCTCCTCCTTCAGGACGGTACTGGAGCTGGGCAGTGGTGCGGGGTTGACGGGTATCGCCGTCTGTCGGTCGTGCAGCCCGAAGCGATTCATCTTCAGCGACTGTCACTCCACAGTGCTGCAGAAACTCAGAGACAACGTCCGGCTGAATGGGCTGAGCGAGCAGACGACCCCAGCGGTCAGCGTGGAGAAGCTGGACTGGACGGCAATCTCAGAGGAAGAGCTGAGGGAGATCGGAGCTGATGTCATCATCGCCGCAGGTCAGATTTTTGGAGATGGTGTGGACACACATTCACACACCTCAGTCTGTTCTGGATTTTGTGGAGCTGTTGACAATCTGCTTTCTCAGATTTGGAGTTAAAGCAGATTCCTGTTGTTTGTCGTGGTGCAGACGTGGTGTACGACCCCGACATCGCAGGAAGTCTGGCGAAGCTGCTGTCCATTGTCCTGAGGTGTTCGTCTGCCGAGGTTCTCCCTCAGGTCTTCATCTGCTCCACGATAAGGAACCTGGAGACGTACGGCGGCTTTAAACAGCAGCTTGGTAAGACAGCGCTGAGGAGGAGGAGGCTATGGTGAAGATGGTTCAGATTAATTCAGACTTAAACCTGATCAGAGTCTGGTTTACTTAAACCTGACGTTCTGCTGTGGCTCTTTGGCTCATGCTAACCTCACGTGATCGACCTCATGCTCGAGTCTGAGTTTCATCAGCCTCGCCCACAAAAACACGTTTTCTGCCTGAAATGAACAGTAAACATATAACACAAGGGGAAAAATACTGTGGTTTGCTGTAGTAAGTAGTTCTTTAACCAGCTGTGCACAGTGTCCACAATTCATGAAATTCATGAAGCAAAAAGGACCTGGAGACAGCTCACAGGAAACACTCAGACGTTCCAGTGTCGACAAAACGAGACTGCAAATCTGGCCAGATTTGATCCTGGATACTTCCTGGTTGCAGTGGGAATAAATAATAATAGTTGTTTTTGAGGCGTGCTTGGGGAATTATGAAGATGATTTTATAGAGATCAGGATTTTCGCAGTGCAGGACGTTGGTTTGAACGAAGTCATTGTTTGTTTGTTTTGGCAGAAGCTGAAGGAGTCGGCCATGAAGTGATCCCAGCACCCGTCAACCACGTGTTTCCTTATAACAGACAGTCGGCTATAGAGCTCATCAAACTGCGCAGATGACACGAGGGGAGCATGATAAAGATTTTATTTACAAATGTACATCCTCATCGTCATGACAACTTCCTTTATACATTCAAGTGAAGAAAGAAAAACGCCAGGAATAAAAAAAGAAGACCTCAGAAGACTTCGTCTTTTCACCCACTGATCCATTTAAATTTTAAATGTACATTTATCAGAAAACACCCCAAACAAACAGTTTTGTCCTTTATGCTCTCACTCTGCTGTAACTGGTGCTCATCTCATCCAGGCATTCACTGGATACTGGACTCAAAAGCTGGGCCTACTTTATTCCATGAAGTGCTCACCAGGCACAAAAGGAAAAAAAGGCTTGTTTCCATGGTGATGTCTACTGCACGTGCCCAGTAGGGCTTACAAAGCGAGACTTTCATGAATAAAAAAAAAATGGTTATAAAACTGCAGCGCTGTCTAGCTCTCTAAATAGAGCCAAGGTTATCTCGGAGCAGTGATTAGAGGCAGGACGTTCTGGTCCCAGTTGTCATCCCAGCGCTGCCCCCTGCTGGAGTGGAGGTTCCTCCTGAAGGTTCCCAGTTTGCCGTCTGAACTGGGAAAGTCTGACAGGAGAGTCTGGAATCATAAACGTTCAGCATTATTTGAAAGAAGTCAAAAGAGCGTGTCGATCACCTTGTTTGTTTTTTTGAGAATAGAAGAAAGAAGGTGGAGTGCTAAGGTATCAGCTAACGCTAGCTAGCTAGCTACCGTGCTATATAAATAATTAGCTATTAACTTATTTATCTGTAATATCCAATTAAAATCCTAGAATTTCACCCCCAAAACTGTGGCTCCAGCTTCTTGGACAGTCTGTTAGTACAGTCACCTCACAGCAGCCATGTTTTTGGTCACATGATGTTATTAAAAAAAGCTCCAACAGCACAAACACGGTCCAGAGGTCCAGTTCAGTTAGCCGAGGTGAAGCCTAACGGACATCTAGCTGCTACAGCCGCCTGTGTCACCCTCTCATCACAGATGTGGCCACTTCACTCCCACTCAGGCTTCAGAACCCACAAAACCATCTTTTATATACAGTCTATGCTTAAATCGTGTTGTACGGTATTTTCAGAGAAGAATAAATGTTGGTAGATATTAGAGTCCATATCAGGGTCTGCCCGAATCTTTCTCCTGATCATGTGACTGGTTTACAGGCATCTCTCACCTTCAGCTGCTCGGCGAGCTCTACAGAGTCTTTGAAGATCAGCCCGTTCTCCTCGTGCTTCACCAGCTCATCCAAGCTAGGAATAAAAATAAAGCCGAGTCAGGTTTAATTCACGTTCATGAGCTTACTGGAAGCACATTCTCATCTCCAGTTTAAATAGATGGACATCAACACAGAGAGGGAAGTATTTACAGAGGTCACTGATGAGCATTTTACTTTGCAACCAGCGGAGTCGCCCCCTCCTGGCCACTAGAAAGAATGCAGTTTAAGAGGTCGGCTCACCAGTTGAAGTGGACGGCGCAGACGGGGAGGCAGCAGCCGAACATGTCCACCACCTTCATGGGCAGATCCAGACCGCTGGACGACTTGTGGAGACAAACACCCAGGTCTGCTGAGCCTGGACGACAGAGAAGGAAACTCCTCCAACGACCTGCAGGAACCTTTGTGCGCAAACACGAGTGAGACTAAACTGGTCGAACAGACCAAAATTAATACTAAAATACCTAAAAGCAGAGGGTAATCTTCTGCCTCCAGCCAGGGGGTGCAGATCTCCACGTGCTCCAGGTGCAGGGAGTCGATGAGCTTCATGTAGTGTTCCTTCTGAGGACCCTTACCTGCACAAACGCACAAAAACACACAGAGTGGAAACATGTTCTGAATAAAGGAAAATCTTCTAATCTGTAAGCAGCGAGCTGGACTACCTGTGATCACGCAGAGTAAAGGTGGTAAGGAAGCTCCTCCCCTAATGAAACCTTCGTACTCTGGTGGGAACAAACAGGCGACAGGTGAGGAAACACGTTTCATGGATTATTTAAACGTTCGTTTCTGGAACAGCAGGTCTCACCTTCGAGGGCCGTCAGCAGGATGGAGAAATCTTCGTCCTCTGCAGAGAAAAAATGTCCTGAATCAGTGATTCAGTGTTTCCAGAGATGAAACACAAGGTGCAAAATAAAGTGAAACTGGCTGAATTTGGAAAATTTTACATTCTGTTTACAATAGAAGCTGCAGCCAGAAACCTTCAGTGAGCATCCTCGCGCATCCCGACATTCCCGCATCGTGTTTACGTCGATGATGAGGAACACCGGGAGTTTAATTCCCCTTTTCCACGAAAAAACTTTATTTATTTCCGCACTGAGATCACGATCTCTTTACCAAGATTCACAGCAGGACTTAAAGCGAAACCGTTGCTCCCAAAATCCTTTCCTGTAAATCCTGAACGGGCCGAGGACGCCGCTGAAGCGGAGGTCACGACCTCCAAGCAGTAACTTCTGTTTTGTTTCTGTTTCTTCCTGATCATTGAAATGTGATTAAAAACCCTGCAGTGAAGCTGCCTGTGTGTGAGCCGCTGAAGGAAAGTAAAAGCTTGTGAAATTAAAAACAAGACTTTTTGAACTCCTGAGATGAACGACTTCAGCAGAAATGTTCGAACAGCAAACGCAAAACAAAAAATCGGTTTGCAATCAGAAAACACCAAAAGCTCGCCGTGGTTTTCGTTCTTAAATGGGGGGGAAGCGTCTCTTCCTCAGACCTGTCCAGCTGGTGCTGCTGAGCAGCAGCGCTGGTCGCTCCGCCCTCAGGGTCACGGTGCCGTCAGCGGGGTCACGAACTGAGAAGATGGTCCTCTCCGCCTCAGACCTGAGAGAGTAGGTGAGCACACAGAGCTGATGTGTTTTTTTCTATAACAATAAACTGAACAACCGAGGAAAAGCCGACAGTAAAACTCTGCAGCTCTACGATTGCACACATTACACAAACTTCCTGTTTTGTGGGCGATCAACAGTGTTTCACAGGAACTGCCCCCCGACGGCGTCATCACTCACCCCGCGTGTCTGAACTGAGGATAGACGGCGGCGAGCCTCACGAAGAGCTCGTGCTGCAGCTTCAGCGGAGTCTCTCTGAAGATGGAGGCCGGCCGGTCGTACAGAGTCGTCGCCCTGCAAACGTCAAACAGTAAAATGTCGCGCTGCGATCCAGAGTGAGAACAGAGTCACTGCGGTTAGTTTACTGGTTTTTATTAACTGCATTAAAAACTCGGCCCTGCAGTGAAACACAAACGTGAACATCAGGAGCCTCACAGAGGACGGATCACGGGACCGTCCACAGCAGAGCCGAGACTTCGAGCAGGTACGAGTTATGTGAACACATCGTCCGCAGACCTGGAGCAGCGTCTCCTTTTAACTCCGCTCCTTCAGTGTCTCCTCAGGTGTCATACACATCACGGCATCCAGAGGCCGCTAGTGAGACATCTGACCTTTGTTTCAGTCTTTCTTTCCTTCATCAACTTCACTGTAAAGTGACACGTCTGCATGTTTTTATTGGTGTGTTGTGAGAATCTTCAATTTCAAACATCTCTCAGATTTTCTGCCACGAGCATTCGTCAGTGAATGAAAAACAGCCATGCAGATAATAGAAAGAGAAAGTCATACTTGATGCCCCAGTTTTTCTGCAAGTCGTCCTTCATGGCGTTGGTGACGCACAAGTTGTGAGACGCCAGAGGGCCAAAGAAGCGCTCGTACCTGAAAGACGAGAACGAAAGCGCCCGTCAGAGATGACAGAGACAGAAACACCTCGGATCAGGATTTAACATTAAGTATTTTTATCACAGTCCTGAGGATCAGGACACCGCAGAGCGCCACCTTCAGCCTCTCAGCGGTACTCACCACTTTGCCAGTCGGACTATGGGATGCGCTGGGCCGTGGCTCAGCGCCATGATGGTGTAGCCGTAGTTGTGCCAGTCGATGATGAATCTGCTGCCACGCAGCAAACACACGAACCAGGTCACTGCGATGCTGGGCAGCCCAGGAGGATTCTGGGAAACAAAGGCAGTCGTTGATGTTAACAGAGTGAAGTATTTATAGCAGAGTTCTTTATCGTTCCTCTAGAGTTCATTTAACTCTCAAAATAAATGTTTTTGAGTCAAAATGAGGATTTTTGTCTTAATTTAAACAAATAAAAAAGAAGAATGGATGAACCAGTGTGATGTTTACGTCTGTACGTGAGTTATTGTTCCCCCTGTGAGAGTCACAGGTAACACACCTGCATCAGAACATGCGCCTGCAGCTCCATCGTCAGCAGGACACGGAGCAGCTGCAGGGACTGAACCGTCACCTTCGTCACATACGAGACCACTTTCGGTCCGACTGCGAAACAGGAAACGGGTTCATTAAAAAACAAACAGTAAAGAATCACATCCTGTTTGTTGTTTAAGCGCAGATGTAAATGTACCTCGGACACCTTTCAGCTCTGCGATGGGCACTATGGTGATTTTCTCCTCGCTCAGCACGTCTTGATGAGGTTTGGTTTCTGAAAAACAATCACAGCACAAATTCTTCACTTTCACAGCCGACACGGGAATTTTTCAGGCACGATGAAACGACTTCCTGATTGTTTTTAGTCCAAAGCTCACATTTCGTTTTTTGTTTCTCAGAACAACCGACTGTTTGTCTGAAACTCTTTTGGTTTTCAGTGCTGTAGAAACAAAAGGTATTTCTTTTCTATCAGGTCATGTTTATAACGCACAGCTGAAATGAACCCGGCTCAGTTAACCTGGATGTGCTGCACCGAGTTTACGTTTTAGTAATTTTAATAGAGTACGTGATATTACTTCTTTCAAACACCACCCTTACAAAGAGGATCGGCTCCATCTCGGATCACTTACAGCGACCTGCTTTGAGGCGTTTTCTGTCTGTGGTCATTTTGCATCCTTTTTTTTCTGCATATACTTTACAGTCACGTCTTTTTCTTTATCTAAAGTTTGATTTATCTCAACCTGCTGAAAGCACCAGTTTTATACTTGGATCAAATATTCTTTTCTTTAGATTTTTGATTTGGAACTTTTACGAGTAACGA